TGCGATGGCGCAATGACGATAGTGAGCAGCGATAACGACAGTAGCGAGCAGCGGGGCGACGTTAGCGTGCAGCAGGGTGTCGTTAGCGAACAGCGGGGCGAAGCATCTGTTCCGACGGTGGCGAAGCATCTCGCGTCCAAACCTCGCAAGCGGCTTTAGCGAGCGATATTGGTAGCGATGCGGCGAAGGCAAGGGTAGCGAGCAGACAGGGCCGGAATGGGAGAGGAGGACAGGGGGAAAGGGTGGGAAGAGCAGCGATCGATGCTATAGGCCCCTGTCCTTCTTTCCCTTTCCCCCACTCCTTCTATCCCTTCCCCCCTGTCCTTCCCTCCTTTCCTCCATGTCCTTCCCACCCTTTCCCCCTGTCATTCTCTCCCTTTCCCCTTAGTCCTTCCCTCCCTTTCATCGTTTTCGTTCCTCCTGATGCTTAATCCTCCCCCCTGTTCTTTCTGCCCTGTCTCCCTATCCTTCCCTCCCCTTCTTCTCCCTCCCTCCTTTCCCCTTCCCAACCCACTGCTCCCCCCTGCTCTCATCCGTCCCCTTGCCCCCATTCGTCCCTTTTCCCCCACTACCGTCGCTGCTTTTCCTGCTCATTTCCCCCTTTCCTGAACCCTTCCTTTTCCTCTCTCACATCCCTTCCCGTTCCCACTATCCCATCCCACCATTCACCCTTCTGATGGCCATCCCTTTCCCTCTTCTCCTGTCCCTTCCCTGTCCTATCCCATTCCCCCTGTCGCTTTCTCCTCCCCCCTGTCCTATCCCATTCCTGTCCTAGTTCAAGCGTGAGAGATTGTTTGTTCCAGGGCATTCCCCCCTGCCACCATCCCCCATGGCACATCCTCCTATGCCACACCTTCGGTTTCACGCCTCCCCATTCCCGAACTCCCCTTGTCCGTCGATACCTTGGCCTCTTGCCCTTCCCAGGAGGCAGAATTGGGCGCGACGGTAGCAAGCGGCTCGATCCCACCGTCTCTCCACCACCAATCCTCCTCTCCCCCACTCCCGCCGTCCCTCCTTTCTCCCGTTACCGTTCAAACCTTCCCCCCGTCCCCGTCCCTCCTTCCATCGGTGTCCGTCCCTCCTTCCCCCACCATCCACCCTTTACCCTACCCTTGTCCTTTCAAGGCATCCCCAGATTCCTAAACCCTTCCTTTCCCTTTCTCCCATCCCTTCCCTTTCCCCCTATCCCATCCCACCATTCACCCCTCTCCCGGCCATCCCTTTCCCCCTCTCCTGTCCCTCCCCATTCCCCACATCCGACCCTTCCCTTTCCACTATGTCCCCTCAGCCAATAGTTTCGCTTTGCCACTGTCCCGAGCCCATCATACCTCAGTTCCCATCCTGCAAGCGCGGTAACTGTGAGCAGCAGCAGCTAGCTGATGCAATGATGGCGGTGTGCAGTGATGTCAAGTGGCGACGGTGGCAGACGTGACGACATCCAACCCTCTGATCCACCGCTCCCAACTCCGCTGCTTCCCTTCACCCACCCCGCTGCTTCCCTTCACCCACCCTACTACTTCCCTTCACCCACCCCACCACTTTGAACCTTCGCGCACCCCACTGTTTCTGCCAACCCTCCATTCAATTTCCCCATCGAACATTTTTCACTTCTACGGCTGGTGTCCTTCCCTACCCCCCTCCCCCCCTGCTATCGGTGGACAGCTGCATCAATAATGGATCAGAGGGGTGTGAAGTTTGGCTCATCTTGGAGATGCCATGTAGGATTTAAATACACTCATGTTTGCCTGCCATGTGTACATTCGTTGCACCCCAAAATAAAAGAAGGAAACAACCACCCCAAACTTTGATCTTTCTGAAATCCTCGAATGTGCCTTTGATTTGCAGAATATGATATTTGTGTGGTTCTCAGATTATTTGAGATACATACTCTTTCGTTATGCAATGTAGAGATGACGGCGTATTCATGGGTTCCGATTTTCGCGTTGTCGTGTGTGTTCCCCCCTTCCCTCCCCCCACCCCTTCCCCTTCCCCCTCACTTTCGAGGTTCGCCAGGTTCGCCTCAGTTGTTTCCTTTTTCTCTTCATCGCAACACAATCTACTCTCTCGCTAGCCAATTGGCGACCAGGAAGGAACAAGACAAAAAACTGTTTGTCACTGTTCCTAAGATATCTGCACCGCGGCTTTAAAGTTACATGGTACAGTACGGAATACCGATGTCGATTTGCCAGTCCAGTCCACGGTTTGGAGACCAAAAGTGTCGTTAGGCTGCCCACATCAGCACTCGATTGACAAAGTACACCGCCCCCAACGCCCCACACTCCCCTCAACCAAGCGTCCGAACCGAACCGAGCCGAGCTCAACCAGATCGTTGCCGCAGCCGCAGCCCATCACTGCTCCTCCCCCCAACACACAAACAGTACGCTACAGTGAATGTTTTGTTGGGCCAGGTGCAGAAAGATGATTCCGCCGCCACACCACCAGGCCTCAGGATTACAGGGCATTTTACCCTGATTAGCCTGTTTTTCAGGGTCGTTTTTTTGGACCACACTGTAAATACAGGATTCAAGGGTTCTACCACCCTGTCACGATCAGGCCTCGTGAAATTTTGACCCTTGTTTTGCAGTTGTTGGTTCTTGTAGCACACTGCCTTGGCCGAGTTCGGTAGTGGCAGCACTCTGACTGAGTTTTGTCCCTTTGTAAAAACTTAGCCAATCGAAAACTGGCATCGGTGTGCTCAGAAAACTAAGTCCTTTCCACAGAGACACTCACACATACACCACGTCAAGCATCGGATGTGCTCGAAAACTGGCTAAGTCCTTTCCACAGTGACACTCACACATACACCGCGTCAAGCATCGGATGTGCTCGAAAATTGGCTAAGTCCTTTCCACGGAGACACTCACACAGATTGGACAGCTGCGGCCTAGTTTTTTTTTTCCACCCTGCCATACCAGACCAGAAAATATTCAACACCCTGCCATTTCTAGGGTACGACGCGGCAGCCACACTGCAGTGGCAGTGTGACTTCGACCTGGAACTTTGATTCGACAGGGTGGCCCAAAACGAATCAAGACCCCTGCACACCACACTAGCCCTTGCATTCTTGCGCTCCTTCCGCCCACCCCTCTTGGCCTGACAACAGTGGATGGCTTAGGGCGTGAAACATTTGGGCTTTTTTTCCGAACGAACGTACGGTTCGAAAAAATACCTCTCTGAATCGTATTGAAACCTACTTGAACAAAGCGTTTGACAAATGAACCATTTCAACCGTTCAGGCGGTACGGTTCGTTTGGAAAAATTCCCAAATGTTCCACGCCCTTAGCTCCTCCTCACCTCACCTCACCCCACCCCATCATTGTTGGTTGGGATTTTGGCGACTGCTGCTGATGGCTGGTTGGTGGTGCTGAAGTGGCGCCTCAAGGCCCTATCAAGAAAGTTGTCCTCAAAGCGGTTGCTTTGGACACATTGCGTGTCAAAAACGATTAGTGTCGGTTTAAAACGGTTCATTAGATTTCGAAGTGAACTTTGAGTCAAAATACCCGTAAAATGTCAACAAGAACGAAAATCCAGAAGGAATTTGGATGTTGTTCAGCCATATCTGCATTGTAGAGGTAGGTGCTTTGGTCTTGTGGCTGGAACGGCAGTCGCAGCGATTAGTTTTTAGGGGTTCGAGTCTCACTAGCCTATTTGGTTGTACGCGTGTGGTGTGGTTCTTCGTTAGGATAGACCGCATTCCCTCCTTTTCGAAGTCCGATGCCGTCACAAGTATCCGTATTGGAGGCTCATTTCCGCTCGTTTCGGTCGCATTACGTAGTAGGTGTTGGAGGTTGGTAGCCGGAGGCTATTGCCGACCAACAGTAGGCTCCAGCTATTCGCTGCATTTCGTTCTCCGTGCTAGCGTCGTATGACATTGAAAGTCTATAGCCGTCATTTCCTTCAATGCGGGTTTCCTCGCCGTGTCGCCTAATGTCGCCTTTCCGGAGTCACGCATGAGACGACATTAGCCAGGTAAGCTTCTTCGCGCTTCGCCTTTTTAGGATTTTTTTTGTCAAAACTCTAGCAGACAAGCAACAGAAACATAAAGCCAGAAAAACTACTCTCGACCGTGGCAGATTCAGTATCCTGCTGATAAACGCCGCATCGTATATCCACCGTTCATTGTTGCATTGTCGAGATCGTGTTCATTACTGCTTGACCAAAGTTTTAATAAATGTGTATACTGCTTGTTCAGTTTTGTTTGCGAACCTAAAGTTTGATGGTCAAGAATAGCATTTCTGCATTGCAAGCAATAATGCTCACACTCCGCTCAACATTCCCATCCCATGCTATTTGTTGCTCGCCTAGTCTTTGCGGTTCCCTAGAAAAGGCGTGCGGTGGCATCGAAAGGTAATGATAATAATAATGAAAAAGAATGTTACACAGCATCCTGGTTTGAGAGACATTTGGACTCAGCTCCATTTGATGGAACGAATCTTTTCCATCCTTTTCGGTGCTCTAGTCATGTCTTCTTTCGTTATCGGGTCTTTCGACGAATCCTCGATTCCCCTTCATCATCCTAATTTCATGCATTTTTCTTACCTGCAGACGTCCGCTTTCGCCTGAATTTTCGTTATCCTCCTCCTTACGACTGAGCCACGCGAAATTCCTATTTATGCCAATGGCGAGCGCAATAACTGGGCTGAACCTATCCTCACATTCGACGTCCGCGTTACAGTCATCATCGACACAAGAACAGAACAGAACGCATCACTTCCGTCGAAAGCCAGCTACGGCGATGGCGTCAGCGCATGTGAAGCTGATGGCTCTATGGCTCGTGACGTGGCTAACGACAGTCGCCTTTATCCCTGCAGCACTCGCCAGCCCTGATAGTGAGTCCTATTCTCCATGTATCCGTACGTAGGGACGTGAAAGCGATTGTTGAGGCGCCTAAAAAGGCTTCAGTGCCTGCTGCACTCGCTATAAGCAACGACAAGAAAAACTTGTTTTCCAAATTCCACATTTTGTCCGCAAATAGGAACATGACAGCATCGCATGGTACAATGGCAGAGTGTCATGGTGAAACAGCAGTAACTCCACCCTTAACACATGTCCCATCTTCGATCCCCAACCCACCTCCCTCCCTCACCGCCTCCTCCCTCTTATCCACCCCAACCCCCCTCTCCCCGCTTCCCCCTCCGCCCTCTAATCCAGCGGAGGAGCTGTTGAACCTCAAGGCGGCGTTCATGGCGTCAAACCCCGCGGCCCTGCAGTCGTTTCCAGACGACATCGACCCGTGCAGCGCGGAATGGCAGGAGAGAATCAAGTGCAACGAGCATGGCCGAATCATTGAACTGTGAGCACACGTTGGGTTGAGAGGAGGGTGGAGGGGTGAGTGAACCGTGAACGGTTGGCTGCAGCCATTATCAGACGAGTGCGGGGTGAACGGATTGACCGTGGTGGCCGAATCATCGAACTGTGAGCACATTAGATGGACGAAAGGGGAGTGTGGTGTGGTGTGGAGCTCTGCTTCCTCCCTCACGCCCGCCTCCTGCTATCGCCCTTTTGCCCGTGCTCTGGTCTGGCTAACGAGCTGCTGAAAGGGCGAATCCCAGGGTGACAGCTGGCAGGCACAGCCGGATGCTCATCCTTCCCTTCAATCTTAATGGTTCCCCACTGATGGCCTTTTTTTCGTGCCTCACCTGCTCCTCGTCTGCTACTCGTTTGCTCATCGTCTGCTCACCCCTGTCTGCCATGCACCCACCCCCCCCCCCCCCCCCTCTTTTCTGCTGTCCAATTCCCACCTGCAGCAATCTCGCCAACGAGCTGCTCAAAGGGCCAATCCCAGGGCGACAGCTGGCGCAGCTGGATGCTCTAGAGCGCCTGTGAGTGTTGCATGCTTTCTGTCTTGGAGAGCATATGGTTTGAGGCTTTGGGTTCTGAGGGGGCAGGCAGGGAGAGAAATTAGGGTTTGAGAGTCGAGTCTTGGCACGTTGGTTCGTATTGAGCACTGCCTGGTGGAAGGCGTGGAAGCTGTGGAGTTAGATTTCGAGGCTTCGGGTTCTGGGAGGACAGGCAGGGAGAGGAGATTAGGTTTTGGGGTTGAGGATGGAGGAGCTCCAAGAGTAAAGAGGTTCAGGCTTGGAGCTCGAGTCTTGGCACGTCGAGCTTCATTTAGCCAGTGCCTCGTGGGGCACGATGGGTTTTAGGTTGGGGGAACTGTGCACTTGTGTGGGCGTTGAGGCTTCAGATGCCTATTTTTGAGGCTGCAGATGGATGGAGGCTGCCTAAGGCCCTAAGACTTGACTTTGAGGCACTGCCTGGGGGAGGCTGCGAGCTAGGGTTTGTGGCCAGGGTTTCGGGTTTTAGGGGTACAGGCAGGTTGTCTTTAGTATCATTGGGGGTGCTTGTGTCTTGTGTTGATTCGCCTCCAAACATGCTTGGAAATGAAACGTGCTTTGGAAATCGCAGGAAATCCAGGGTGCGTTGGGAAATCTCAAATTAGGGTTTGGTATACCCTAAACCCTGTCCCTCCCGACCCTCTCCTTTTTCCACTGCACCAATCTGCGGTACAACTCTCTGACTGGCCCAATTCCCAAGGATCTCTCGATTGCAGAGTCAACAAAAAAAAAAAATCCTAGACCTTGTCCCTTTCCCCCCCACCTCCCTCTTCCACCGCAGCAATCTGGGATACAACTCTCTGACTGGCCCCATTCCCAAGGACCTTGGTTCTCTCAACGGCCTCACCTTCCTGTTAGTCCCAATCCATCCACTTGTCAATGCCCCTTCATCTTCTGAGGCACCTTAGAAAAAGGCAATCTGGGGTACACCAACTCTCTGACTGGCCCCATTCCCAAGGACCTTGGTTCTCTCAACGGCCTCCCTTCCTGTTAGTCCCATCCCATCCACTCGTAAAAGTACCTCTGCTAATGCCCCTCTGCTAAAACCCCTCTGCTAATCCCCCTCTTCTAAGGACCCCTTTCTAAGGCCCCCCTCTTAAAGCGACGGTGCACATTTGCCAAGCGGAGGTTCAGAAGTTTTTGTTTTGAACCAGCCTTGCCAGCGCGAAAGTGTTGGCTGGCGAAAACCTGGATTTCGTGCGGACACTTTTCCTCCGCAGTAACAGTTCGCCAGGGTTTAGGGTTTCGGGTGGCAAATGTGCACCGTCGCTTTAAGGCCCCTTCTGATAAATCACCTCTTACCAGCCCCTCGATCACAGCTCCCCTCCTTACAACGCCTCTTCATAAGGCGACTCTCTAATGTGCACAATCTTGTCTTCCTGCTAATCGGCGGCTGCTCATAAGTTGCTTGCACTCTTCTGTCTTAGCCACGCCACAGCAGTCCTTTCAGTCACGACATCTTGTGATGTGAACGAGGTAACAAGATGAGGCAAGAATAGAATGTGGACATGCATATATATGCGCATACTAAAGTTCATACACATGCATGTATTTGGGCTTGCATGTGTGCGTGTGCATCCCCATGTCGTATGCGCGTGCCTGTGCGTACCTGTGTGTGTGAATGTGTGCATTCCTGTTTGTATGCATGTGCGAATATTGATGTCTCCCCATGTGTTGGTCAGGTCATTCGAGTCAAATCAGCTGGAGGGACCTATCCCGGACTGGATGGCACCACTGCTCTCACGGCTTGTTGAAATGTGCGTTTCATCTTGCTTACATTACATAGATGGACAATGCTCAAGTGAACTAAGGGTATTTATTCCTCATTTGAGGTGCCTCATGACTCAAGGCATACTACAGGTATGCATCATGGCTATCCCGGACTGGATGGCGCCACTGCGCTCACAGCTTGTTGAAATGTGGGCCCTGCTCCCTCTGTGTGTGCTGCTGCCTCTCTGCGTGTACCAAGACCATATATCACCCATTTGAGGTGCCTCGTGCTGCTAATGTCACTAGGAAAGTTGACTCAACATTCTGCTCGTGTCTCTTCCTCCCCCTCCTCCAGCCGCTTCGCCAACAATCAATTCAACAGGTCTCTGCCTAAAAGCCCCCCCCCCTTCTCCACCTCCTCCATCTCGTATCACCGTTTCTAATTCAGTTGACTCAACATTCTACTCGTGTCTCCCCCTCCTCACTCCCCCCCGCCAGTCGTTTCGCCAACAACCAGTTCAACGGCTCTCTGCCCAGAAGCCTCGGCACTCTGAAGAATCTAACCACACTGTAAGGCTCGCTTCTTGTCAGCCAGCTTTCATGCGATCATCGATCTTTGTCAGCTTCAACGCGACCTTTGTCATACTTCGATTCTCTGCGTTCCCCTCCCCTGCTTTCAACTCTCCCTTGCCATGTCGCCCTGTTCGCTCTCGTATACATATACCTACCTCTCCCTGTTCCCCGCTGTCCACTTTTGAGGCGCCTCAAATGTAGACTCCCCTGATTTCAACTCTCCCTTGCCATGTCGCCCTGTTCGCTCTCGTATACATATACCTACCTGCCTCTCCCCTGTTACCCAGTGCCCACCGTCCCAACCACTCACCACTCCCTCCTCCCCCTTTCCCCCTTCCTCTAGGGACATGGCCAGCAACAAAAAATCAGGCCAGTGGCTTTTGAGAATTCTCAAAAACCACCTCTAGGGACATGGCCAGCAACAAAAAATCAGGCCAGTGGCTTTTGAGAATTCTCAAAAACCACCTCTAGGGACATGGCCAGCAACAAAAAATCAGGCCAGTGGCCTCCACGGCTAACCTGTTTCGCCCACCCACCATCTTCCCATCCCACTCACACGTTCTCCCCCCTCGTCCTCTTCCCCCGCTTTCTTCCCCAATCCCTCCAGGCCAGGGACATGGGCAGCAACGAATTATCCGGCGAGCTACCACCACAGCTAGCCCCCTTCTTCCCAACTCAAAACGCCCCCCTCCTCTCCCCCCTCTTCTCCTTCCCTCTCCCTCCAGGGACATGGGCAGCAACAAGATATCCGGCGAGCTACCACCAGAGCTAGCCCCCCTTCTTCCCAACTCAAAACCCAACCCCCCCTCATCTCCCCCCTCTTCTCCTTCCCTCTCCCTCCAGGGACATGGGCAGCAACAAGTTATCGGGCGAGCTACCACCACAGCTAGCCTACTGCAGTAACCTCAAACTCATGTAAGCTCACCATTGGAAACCTTTTATTCTGCCTTTTTTTCTTCAAATCAAACCTTGAATATCACCGTGGTCTTATCTCCCTCTACTCATCTCCTCCCCTTCCATCCACCCCCTCCACTCCTCCCTCCTCCCCCCCGTCAACCCAACTACATCTCACTCCTCCCTCCCTCTCCCTTCATGCTCGCTTCTTGCTCCTTGCAGTTCTTTTCCAGCCAATCAGCTGTCCGGTCCCATTCCCGAATGGCTGGGGAACCTCAAGTTCGAGGAGTCAAAAACCCCTTCCTCTCCCTCTCCCTCTCTCCCGTCACGCTCACTTCTTTCTCCGTGCAGCTCCTTTCCAGCCAATCAGCTGTCGGGTCCCATTCCCGAGTGGCTGGGGAACCTCAAGGAGCTTGAAGTCCTGTAAGCGCTCTTCCCAGCACATTTAAGTGCTGCTACTTAGCCTAGGTTGTTGCTGTCTCTAAACTAATAAAGCGTTGATGTTTAGCACGAGAGACTCTTCGATCTTTGCATGTGCTGCAGCACTTGTTCTTGCTCCCTTTGTGTCGTGCCGTCCCACTATCTGCCATGCCATGCCATGCCATGCCATGCCACGTCATGCCTGTGTGCCCTGTCCCCCTGTGCCCCTGTCCCCCTGTGCCCCTGTCCTCCTGTGCCCCTGTCCCCCTGTGCCCCTGTCCCCCTGTGCCCCTGTCCTCCTGTGCCCCTGTCCTCCTGTGCCCCTGTCCCTCTGTCCCCCTGTCCCCCTGTGCCCTTGTGCCCCTGTGCCCCTGCCCCCCTGCCCCCCTGCCCCCCTGCCCCCTTGCATCTGTGCGCCCCTGCACCCCTACGCAGGGAAATGTACACCAACGGGCTCTCAGGTCCCATCCCCACGCAACTGGCTCTCGCCGTGTCTCTACACTCCATGTAAGCTTCATCCATACACACCCTGTCCATACTCATTTCTTTGATGTACTACAGGACTGCTTCCTCTCTCTCCCATTCCTCCTCCCCCTGTATCAATCTCTCACTCTCCTCCTCCTTCTCTCGGTCTCCCCCCCTACTTGCTCTCTCTCCCCCCGCCAGTGCCATGGACAGCACCAGCTCACAAGGCTGCTCCCTCCTAAGCCGATTTTTTAAGCGCCTCAACCCCTACCCCCCCTCTCCTTCTCCGCCCACTCTTGGCGTTCTTCCCCCCACTCCTACTTATCTGCTCTTCTCTCCCCTCCCCCCTCAGTGCCATGGACAACAATCAGCTCACAGGACTGCTCCCTCCCGAGCTAGGGGACCTACCCAATCTATCCGCCATGTGAGGGAATCTGTTGCGCATTGGGATTGAATTGAATGCGTTTGTTTTTTCCCAATCAATACATACTCGAAACCATCCCATCTCCCTTGTGTTTGTTTTTCCTAGTCGTTGCTTCTCTCATCCCTATGTCTGTTCCTTCCCTGGATTCCGTATCCCCGTTTCCATTCACACCCTCTGTTCCTATCCCTCCGACCTCCCCCGCCCAACATGCACTCTCTTCCCCATGCCCCTCCCCCCCCCCCCATCCATGCGCTTGGGCTCCCATCAATGGCAGCTACGTGGCGAACAACAAGCTGGAGGGTCCCATTCCGGACTCATACAGCAAGCTCGAGTCGCTCATGTACCTGTGCGTGCTGCTGTGCTCTCTCCCTCTTGCTGCTGTGCAACCCCAGTCCCTGCTGCTGCTGTGGCACTTAGCTTAGAGCCTCCACTCACATGCCTGTGTGAGCTGCTGTGTGTGCGGTGAATTAGAGGGGCCCATTCCGGACTCCTACAGCAAGCTCGAATCACTCATGTACCTGTGCTGTGCGGGCTGCTGCTGCTCTCTCCTCCTGCTGCTGTGCACTTAGCTCAGAGAATCCACTCACATACCTGTAGCCTGTGTGAGCTGCTGTGCGTGCTGTGCACTATAGGATCCCGTACCGGACTTATACAGCAAGCTTGAATCACTCATGTACCTTTGCGTGCTGCTCTCCCCTTTTGAATGCTGCTGTGCACTTACCTGCGAGTGCTTCCCTGCTTTTACAGCTCTCCGCCTATGCCCTCCGCCTAGTTTTACACGTTCTTTGAGGCAGACTCACGTTTTCTCACATTTCCCCCAGTCTGCATACAGCATGCTCGAATCACTCATGTACCCGTGTGCGCTGCCATGCACTTAAATCTCCGTCTACCTCTCCCTCTACCTCTCCCTCTCCCTCTCCCTCTCCCTCTACCTCTCCCTCTACCTCTCCCTCTCCCTCTCCCTCTACCTCTCCCTCTCCCTCTCCCTCTCCCTCTCCCTCTCCCTCCCCCTCTACCTCTCCCTCTCCCTCTCCCTCTACCTCTCCCTCTACCTCTCCCTCTACCTCTCCCTCTCCCTCTCCCTCTCCCTCTACCTCTCCCTCTACCTCTCCCTCTCTCTACCTCTCCCTCTCCTCTCCCTCTCCCTCTCCCTACCTCTCCCTCTACCTCTCCCTCTCCCTCTCCCTCTACCTCTCCCTCTCCCTCTCCCTCTCCCTCTCCCTCTACCTCTCCCTCTACCTCTCCCTCTACCTCTCCCTCTCCCTCTCCCTCTCCCTCTCCTCTCCTCTACCTCTCCCTCTCCCTGTCTATCTCCCTCTCCTTCTCTTGTCCTCTCCCCTCTTCTTGCCTGCAGGGACGTGAGCTACAACGAGGGTATAAACGGCACTATCCCAGAGTTTCTAGGGAAAATGTCACGCATCCAGTCAATGTGAGTCAATGCTGCCAACGTGAGTCAATGCAGTCAATGTGAGTCAATGCTGCCAACGTGAGTCAATCCGTTCAACGTATGTGAGTCAGTGCAGTCAACATGAGTCAATGCAATCAATGTGAGTGTCTTCCCCTCCCTCCCCGCCCTCCCTCCTTCCCTCCCTCCCTCCCCTCCCTCCCCTCCCTCCTCTCCCCCGCACCCACAGAGCCTTCGAGTATTGCGATCTGACCGGCCCCATTCCCCCCAACCTGGGCGAGCTGCAGAACATAGTGGAGATCTTCCTGGACAACAACCAGCTCACGGGGGACATCCCGCCCTGATTCCCTTCCTCCCTCCTCCCTCCCTACCCTGTCACCCCCCTCCCCCCCACCTCCAGAGCCTTCGAATACTGCGACTTAACCGGCCCCATCCCCCCGAACCTGGGCGAGCTGACCAACATAGTGGAGATCTTTCTGGACAACAACCAGCTCACGGGGGACATCCCGCCCTCCCTGGGGCAGCTCGTGACGCTCAACAAGCTCTTTCTCAACCACAACATGCTCTCGGGGCAAATTCCTACAGAGCTCTGCCAGCTCACCAACATCTACGATCTGAATCTGGCGAGGAACCAGCTGCAGGGGAGCATCCCCCCGTGCCTGACCCAGCTGCCGCACCTAGCAACGCTGTGAGTAGCGTATGAGCGTGTGAAGGTCCTGTCGTGAGGGCACGGACAGAAAGCAGAGACACAGTATCCCTCGACTACAAGGACAGCTCGTGACTCTCCAGCTCGTGACTCTCAACAAGCTCTTTCTCAACCACAACATGCTCTCGGGAGCGATCCCCACGGAGCTTTGTCAGCTCACCAACATATATGATCTGAATCTGGCGAGGAATCAGCTGCAGGGGACTATCCCCGCGTGTCTCACACAGCTGCCGCACCTAGCAACACTGTGAGTGGATTTCACATGGCAACCGGTTGGTGGCATAGCAAGTCACCCTCAACCACAACATGCTCTCGGGCGCCATTCCCATGGAGCTTTGTCAACTCACCAACATGTACGATCTGAATCTGGCGAGGAATCAGCTGCAGGGGAGCATTCCTGCAAGCCTGATGGAGCTTCCACACCTAGCCACACTGTGAGTGCATTTCTCTTTGCATGCAGGGAAGCATTTTCGCGTGCCCGACACAGCTGCCGCATCTGGCAACACTGTGGGTGCAACTCCTCGTGGCATGGCTTGACCTTTGAGTCGACTCAAAAGAGCTGACTTTTGAGTCGACTCAAAAGTCAGCTCGCATCTGGCAACACTGTGGGTGCAACTCCTAGTGGCATGGCTTGGCTTGACATGGCACAGCATGGCACAATGGGCGGAGCAACACTCTCTGAGTGGGCCAACACCCTGCGGCAGTGATTTGGTAGCATGTGATTGGATGGAACCTGCTTACTGGCCCAGTCACAGACGACTCTCCAGCACCAATGCCATTCACTCGAGTACAATGGCAACTGACTTAACAACGTGTCCCTCTCTCCCCCTGCTTTTCCTCCCTCTCCCACTACCCGTTTCTCCCGTTTTCTCCCGGAACACAGGACCTTGTCTATGAACCTGCTCACTGGTCCAGTCCCAGACATCACCAGCACTAATGCAGCGAACTTTGAGTACAACGGCAACTGCCTTGACAACGTGCCTCCTTCCCTCCCTGCATCTGCTCCCCTCTCTCTCCCACCATTGCAGCACCTTGTCTATGAACCTCCTCACGGGTCCAGTCCCAGACGTCAGCAGCACCAACGCGGTCAACTTTGAGTACAACGGCAACTGCCTTGACAACGTGCCGGATCAACAGGACGTCTGCGCTGCTCCCACCACCACTCCTCCCTCCACCGACGGAACCCCCCCTCCCACGGACGGAACCCCCACCGATGGAACCCCCACTGATGGGACCACCGCCAATCCCCCCACCGCTGACGGCACCACCCCTGATGCTGCTGCCCAGGAGTCGCCTCCTCCTCCAGCCGAGGCTGCTGCTGCCACGGTCTCTCCCCCTGCTCCTCCCCCGCCACCCCCTGCTAACCAAGGTGCGTTCAGGTCCTTTCCTCTCAGTGGTAGCACCACTGACAGCAGCAGCAGCGGTGGTGGCGATGCTGCTTCCCAGCAGTCGCCTCCTCCTCCATCCGAGGCTGCTGCTGCCACAGTCTCTCCCCCTGCTCCTCCCCCGCCGCCCCCTGCAAGCCAAGGTGCGTTCACTTCCTATCCTCTCAGCGGTAGCAGCAATGACAGTGGTTGCAGCAACAGTGGTAGGCTGGTAGCAGCTATGTTCCTCTCAAGGGTTCTTGCAGCGGTAGCAGCAGTGACAGTGGTAGCAGCGATGCTGCTTCCCAAGAGTTGCCTCCCCCAGCTGAGACTGCTGCTGCCTCGGCTTCTTCCCAACCTCCTCCCCGTGCCTCGGCCTGCATGTCATTTGAGTCCACTCAAAAGTCACCTTCTTCCCAACTTCCTCCCCGTGCCTCGGCCTGCATGTCACCCTCCCTTCTCCCCTCTTCCCCGTCCTCCTTCTCCTCCCATGTTGCTCTGCCCCACCCACCCAGTCCCCCTCCCTCCACATATACGTTTGCAGGCTGCTGCAGCGAAGTTCGAGGCATCTCAAAACAGCTCAAGTCTGCGCTCCCCTCCTCCCCTGCCCTCTACACGTTGCCCCTCCCGTCCCACTCCCGTCCCACTCCCGTCCCACTCCCGTCCCACTCCCGTCCCACTCCCGTCCCACTCCCGTCCCACTCCCGTCCCACTCCCGTCCCACTCCCGTCCCACTCCCGTCCCACTCCCGTCCCACTCCCGTCCCACTCCCGTCCCACTCCCGTCCCACTCCCGTCCCACTCCCGTCCCACTCCCGTCCCACTCCCGTCCCACTCCCGTCCCACTCCCGTCCCACTCCCGTCCCACTCCCGTCCCACTCCCGTCCCACTCCCGTCCCACTCCCGTCCCACTCCCGTCCCACTCCCGTCCCACTCCCGTCCCACTCCCGTCCCACTCCCGTCCCACTCCCGTCCCACTCCCGTCCCACTCCCGTCCCACTCCCGTCCCACTCCCGTCCCACTCCCGTCCCACTCCCGTCCCACTCCCGCACCGCTCCCGTCCCACTCCCGTCCCACTCCCGTCCCACTCCCGCACCGCTCCCGTCCCACTCCCGTCCCACTCCCGTCCCACTCCCGTCCCACTCCCGTCCCACTCCCGTCCCACTCCCGTCCCACTCCCGTCCCACTCCCGTCCCACTCCCGCACCGCTCCCGTCCCACTCCCGTCCCACTCCCGTCCCACTCCCGTCCCACTCCCGTCCCACTCCCGTCCCACTCCCGTCCCACTCCCGTCCCACTCCCGTCCCACTCCCGTCCCACTCCCGTCCCACTCCCGTCCCACTCCCGTCCCACTCCCGTCCCACTCCCGTCCCACTCCCGCACCGCTCCCGTCCCACTCCCGTCCCACTCCCGTCCCACTCCCGTCCCACTCCCGTCCCACTCCCGTCCCACTCCCGTCCCACTCCCGTCCCACTCCCGTCCCACTCCCGTCCCACTCCCGTCCCACTCCCGTCCCACTCCCGTCCCACTCCCGTCCCACTCCCGTCCCACTCCCGTCCCACTCCCGTCCCACTCCCGTCCCACTCCCGTCCCACTCCCGTCCCACTCCCGTCCCACTCCCGTCCCACTCCCGTCCCACTCCCGTCCCACTCCCGTCCCACTCCCGTCCCACTCCCGTCCCACTCCCGTCCCACTCCCGTCCCACTCCCGTCCCACTCCCGTCCCACTCCCGTCCCACTCCCGTCCCACTCCCGTCCCACTCCCGTCCCACTCCCGTCCCACTCCCGTCCCACTCCCGTCCCACTCCCGTCCCACTCCCGTCCCACTCCCGTCCCACTCCCGCACCGCTCCCGTCCCACTCCCGTCCCACTCCCGTCCCACTCCCTCCCGTCCCACTCCCGTCCCACCCACGTCCCACTCCCGTCCCACTCCCGTCCCACTCCCGTCCCACTCCCGTCCCACTCCCGTCCCACTCCCGTCCCACTCCCGTCCCACTCCCGTCCCACTCCCGTCCCACTCCCGTCCCACTCCCGTCCCACTCCCGTCCCACTCCCGTCCCACTCCCGTCCCACTCCCGTCCCACTCCCGTCCCACTCCCGTCCCACTCCCGTCCCACTCCCGTCCCACTCCCGTCCCACTCCCGTCCCACTCCCGTCCCACTCCCGTCCCGCTCCCGTCCCACTCCCGTCCACTCCCGTCCCACTCCCGTCCCACTCCCGTCCCACTCCCGTCCCACTCCTCGTCCCACTCCCGTCCCACTCCCGTCCCACTACCCGTACGCCCACTCCCGTCCCAGCTCCCGTCCCACTCCCGTCCCACTCCCGTCCCACTCCCGTCCCACTCCCGTCCCACTCCCGTCCCACTCCCGTCCAACTCCCGTCCCACTCCCGTCCCACTCCCGTTCCCACTCCCGTCCCACTCCCGTCCCACTCCCGTCCACTCCCGTCCCACTCCCGTCCCACTCCCGTCCCACTCCCTCCCACTCTCCCGTCCCATCCCGTTCCCAACTCCCGCACTCGCTCCCGTCCCCACTCCCGTCCCACTCCCGTCCCACTCCCGTCCCACTCCCGCACCCTCCCGTCCCACTCCCGTCCCACTCCCGTCCCACTCCCGTTCCCACCTAGCCCGTCCCACTCCCGTCCCACTCCCGTCCCACTCCCGTCCCACTCCCGTCCCACTCCGTCCCACTCCCGTCCACTCCGTCCCACTCCCGTCCCACTCCCGTCCCACTCCCGTCCCACTCCCGTCCCACTCCCGTCCCACTCCCGTCCACTCCCGTCCCACTCCCGTCCCACTCCCGTCCCACTCCCGTCCCACTCCCGTCCCACTCCCGTCCCACTCCCGTCCCACTCCCGTCCCACTCCCGTCCCACTCCCGTCCCACTCCCGTCCCACTCCCGTCCCACTCCCGTCCCACTCCCGTCCCACTCCCGTCCCACTCCCGTCCCACTCCCGTCCCACTCCCGTCCCACTCCCGTCCCACTCCCGTCCCACTCCCGTCCCACTCCCGTCCCACTCCCGTCCCACTCCCGTCCCACTCCCGTCCCACTCCCGTCCCACTCCCGTCCCACTCCCGTCCCACTCCCGTCCCACTCCCGTCCCACTCCCGTCCCACTCCCGTCCCACTCCCGTCCCACTCCCGTCCCACTCCCGTCCCACTCCCGTCCCACTCCCGTCCCACTCCCGTCCCACTCCCGTCCCACTCCCGTCCCACTCCCGTCCCACTCCCGTCCCACTCCCGTCCCACTCCCGTCCCACTCCCGTCCCACTCCCGTCCCACTCCCGTCCCACTCCCGTCCCACTCCCGTCCCACTCCCGTCCCACTCCCGTCCCACTCCCGTCCCACTCCCGTCCCACTCCCGTCCCACTCCCGTCCCACTCCCGTCCCACTCCCGTCCCACTCCCGTCCCACTCCCGTCCCACTCCCGTCCCACTCCCGTCCCACTCCCGTCCCACTCCCGTCCCACTCCCGTCCCACTCCCGTCCCACTCCCGTCCCACTCCCGTCCCACTCCCGTCCCACTCCCGTCCCACTCCCGTCCCACTCCCGTCCCACTCCCGTCCCACTCCCGTCCCACTCCCGTCCCACTCCCGTCCCACTCCCGTCCCACTCCCGTCCCACTCCCGTCCCACTCCCGTCCCACTCCCGTCCCACTCCCGTCCCACTCCCGTCCCACTCCCGTCCCACTCCCGTCCCACTCCCGTCCCACTCCCGTCCCACTCCCGTCCCACTCCCGTCCCACTCCCGTCCCACTCCCGTCCCACTCCCGTCCCACTCCCGTCCCACTCCCGTCCCACTCCCGTCCCACTCCCGCACCACTCCCGTCCCACTCCCGTCCCACTCCCGTCCCACTCCCGTCCCACTCCCGTCCCACTCCCGTCCCACTCCCGTCCCACTCCCGTCCCACTCCCGTCCCACTCCCGTCCCACTCCCGTCCCACTCCCGTCCCACTCCCGTCCCACTCCCGTCCCACTCCCGTCCCACTCCCGTCCCACTCCCGTCCCACTCCCGTCCCACTCCCGTCCCACTCCCGTCCCACTCCCGTCCCACTCCCGTCCCACTCCCGTCCCACTCCCGTCCCACTCCCGTCCCACTCCCGTCCCACTCCCGTCCCACTCCCGTCCCACTCCCGTCCCACTCCCGTCCCACTCCCGTCCCACTCCCGTCCCACTCCCGTCCCACTCCCGTCCCACTCCCGTCCCACTCCCGTCCCACTCCCGTCCACTCCCGTCCCACTCCCGTCCCACTCCCGTCCCACTCCCGTCCCACTCCCGTCCCACTCCCGTCCCACTCCCGTCCCACTCCCGTCCCACTCCCGTCCCACTCCCGTCCCACTCCCGTCCCACTCCCGTCCCACTCCCGTCCCACTCCCGTCCCACTCCCGTCCCACTCCCGTCCCACTCCCGTCCCACTCCCGTCCCACTCCCGTCCCACTCCCGTCCCACTCCCGTCCCACTCCCGTCCCACTCCCGTCCCACTCCCGTCCCACTCCCGTCCCACTCCCGTCCCACTCCCGTCCCACTCCCGTCCCACTCCCGTCCCACTCCCGTCCCACTCCCGTCCCACTCCCGTCCCACTCCCGTCCCACTCCCGTCCCACTCCCGTCCCACTCCCGTCCCACTCCCGTCCCACTCCCGTCCCACTCCCGTCCCACTCCCGTCCCACTCCCGTCCCACTCCCGTCCCACTCCCGTCCCACTCCCGTCCCACTCCCGTCCCACTCCCGTCCCACTCCCGTCCCACTCCCGTCCCACTCCCGTCCCACTCCCGTCCCACTCCCGTCCCACTCCCGTCCCACTCCCGTCCCACTCCCGTCCCACTCCCGTCCCACTCCCGTCCCACTCCCGTCCCACTCCCGTCCCACTCCCGTCCCACTCCCGTCCCACTCCCGTCCCACTCCCGTCCCACTCCCGTCCCACTCCCGTCCCACTCCCGTCCCACTCCCGTCCCACTCCCGTCCCACTCCCGTCCCACTCCCGTCCCACTCCCGTCCCACTCCCGTCCCACTCCCGTCCCACTCCCGTCCCACTCCCGTCCCACTCCCGTCCCACTCCCGTCCCACTCCCGTCCCACTCCCGTCCCACTCCCGTCCCACTCCCGTCCCACTCCCGTCCCACTCCCGTCCCACTCCCGTCCCACTCCCGTCCCACTCCCGTCCCACTCCCGTC